GTTGCTGTGGTGTTGCGTTGCCGTGATGTTGCGTTGCCGTGGTGTTGTGTTGCTGTGGTGTTGTGTTGCCGTGGTGTTGCGTTGCCGTGGTTTTGCGTTGCCGTGGTGTTGCGTTGCCGTGGTGTTGCGTTGCCGTGGTGTTGCGTTGCCGTGGTGTTGCGTTGCCGTGGTGTTGTGTTGCTGTTGCCTCACCCTCCAGTCCCACACGCTGACAGTCATGTCGTGCTGGAACCCCACAGAGACGATGTAGCAGCTGTTGGTGGAAAACGAAACGCAGGAAACTCCGTATTTATGAGACTGGACTTCGGCCACCTGACCTCCGTCCACCTCCCAGACCCTCACACAGGGCAGGTGACCGCTCTGAAACACAACATTGAGACCCTTAAAATTCTTTTTACATCCACGTCACAACAGAGCTGCTCACTAAGCTGTGACTGGGTGTGGACTCTTATTTTGTTGTGTCCTTTAATACCTGTGTGAGAAAGAGAAAGAAGCGCTGCATGGCTTCATTAATTATTCCATAACGAATTAGCCAATCGTGGGTTTTACAGGTTCGGTTGGTTTTATGTATAATGAGCTTTCGGTCCTGCAGTGTTCTGGTAAAAGCAGATGAGCTCAGACAGTTGGGTTCTGCTTGGACTCGCTGATCTCAGTGTGGTTCGGGTGTGAAGCTCTGCTCTTACCTCACCAGTCACCAGGTGTCTTCCATCATGAGAGAAGGCCACAGCGCTGAAGGGTTTCCTGAAACAGATAAACAGCTTCAGTCAGAACCTACACCAAGCTCAGCTCGCTGCCAGTGCTGGATCACTGAGGTCCAATCTACCTGGACGTGTTGACGATGTGAGTCTGCCTGTTGGTCTCTGGGTGAAGCAGCACGATGACACACCTGAAACACAGTCAGGTCCATTCACGTGAGCACAGTCGGCTTCAAACGCTTGACAAGCATCACTTTACAGATTCAAAGACAAACTGCAGCTGTGTGCTGAATTCCTTGTCCTCTAAGGCAAATTCACGGTTTGTCCGTCTGTGTCCGAAGGCTGACCAGCTGTTCATGCCTCAGTAGAACCGCTTCAGCTGCCCTCATGTTAAACACAGAAAACAGCAGCGGATGTAGCTCCGTGTCAGGTGACTACTGACGAGTCCAGACGCCCTGGGAACAGGACTTCACACTGTGTTTGTGCTCTGTCCATAAGAGCATGAACGAAGGCCTTCCGACTTTAATGAAAACTGCCCCAATGATGAGTTTTAAAGGTGATTTGGACCGACTCTCGCCCCAACACTTGTTTTCCTGCACATGCTCAGTAGGCTGTAGTGCGGACAGTCTGAATGGACCCTCGCAGATTTGGGTCGATGATGAAATTTACATCCCACAGATGCAGAGAGCATGAACTGGCCTTCAAACACAGGTGAGTAAAAAGGGGTGGGGCTTACCCTGCAGGGTAGGCGACGAGGCCAGAGTTGGGGTCTGAGGTCAGAGCGCTGCCGCTGGTCGTGGTGATTCCCAGAACTTTCTCCAAACTCACCTGAAACAAAGTCCATTCAGACACAGACTGATCACTTTCATTTTCAATCGAGTCACAGCACATCGAGAACAACTGATCGGCAGCAAGAAACACCTGCAAAATATGTTAATAATCCAGGTGTTTATTGCACGACCTCACGTTCCACATGTTATAAGAACAAGTCACCACGTGATTAGGTTCAGCTGTCTACTCTGACTGTAGGTAGAAGGTTTCTTTCATCAGACAATGAGCTGTTTTTACCTTTGACATGTTTCGACTGTCCCTTCAGTCTTCCTCAGAAACACCACTGACGTCTCTGGTGACGTGTCTCTATGAGCTGCTGGCTTCCTGGAGGTGTGACCCGCCTGGCAGTCTGTCAGATCTGCCCGACACAAAGATCATTGCATCGGAGAGCACCAAGTTTAAACGCTGGATCAGGAGGCCATAGAAGTCAGGACGCGAGCCAAAGACACCATGAGCCGTGATGAGGGGGCATCATGCTGTCCACTCATGGGACGCTCTCCTGCAGAGACCACCAGGCGGCAGGAGGCGTGGCCCGTCGGGTCAATCTGACAGACTGCCAGGCGGGTCACGCCTCCTCCAGGAAACCAGCAGCTGATGAAGACACGTCACCACAGACGTCAGTGACGTTTCTGAGGACGACTGAAGGGACAGTCGAAACATGTCAAAGGAAAACAGCTCCTACCTAAAAATACTCATTAGTTATTAGTTACACCACTGAAACTGAACCTGGTTATTTTCAGTCATGAAAGGTCTTAAACTGGGACTTAATCTCATTTAATGTTGTTGTTTCAGAACGTTACACGTTTCTGCTGCACTAATGAAGACTTTCTGGATAAAATCACGTCTGTTTCAGTTAATAAACTGTTGTTGTGGACCAGCTGCTTTATGGACAATTCATGACTTCCGGGTCCGTGTGACGTAAAATTCGTCATCCACCCAAATCAGTGCCTATTGTCACTGCGAGTGCGCATGTGCAGGAAAGCCAGCGGCGCTTAAAAGTTTGTTCTGAGGAGATTCTGTGAAAAACACTTTAAATTCATCATTAACAGAGTTTTAATTAAAGGCGGACCGTCTTTGATTTGGTCCAAACACATCTCAAGTCCTCATTTCTCCACAAATCTTGTGTTTCCTCGTCTGTGTTCGATGTGCGGCCCGGTTCCACGGACGAGTCCACAGTCCGTCTCTCGGCCTCCGGACTCGGACACCGGGAGCTGGCTTTCACCTACCCGGCTGCCGGAGCTCTTCTTCGGGGCGCTCTGTCGGCTCTTCCTCCCCGCTGGCTGCTTCCTCTTGGCGGCGTTGCCGAGACCGCAGTCCGCTGCCTCCGCCATGTTGTCACTGTGATGAAGTTGCTGTTTTCAGTCGACCGCGGTGGTCGTGACCGTGTGAACACCGCGGTGCTGCTCCAGAAACGCCCCGCCGAGGAGCACCGGGGGTCGGTCAGAGCGTCGGGACTCTCCGCGGCCCCGAACGAAACCTGACACCGACCTCCGCGGCGGGAATCCGGTTCAAACTTAGCCCCGCCCACCAAAACAACGGCCAATCAATAGGCAGAGGATCCACAAAACAACGAATGAGCAGCCGGACAGAGTCAAAGTCCCGCCTACTGCGCGGCAACCAACCAATCAGCATCCAGAAATGTTTCGCACCAGTTTGTATATACTTCAGGAAAAAGTGTCAGTGTACTAAAACTCTGAAGTACAACAGAAAAATCACACGGATTGCTATAAATCTGAAGTACTGCTAAAACTCTCAATTATTGCTGATGATTTAAAGTACAGCTTAAAATCTGATGTATACCTAAAACCGTGAAGTACGGCTAGAAAAGCTACAGCCTACTGAAAATCAGAAATACCACCACGAAGTGAAGCACGACTACAAATCTGACAGGACAAAAAATTTGGAGCACTGCTAAAAAATGTTAAGTATTATGAAATATATGAAGTATAAGTAAATAAAGTATTGGCCAAAATCTGACGTACTGCCAAATATCCAAAGTACTGCTAAAGATTTAAAGTATAAAAATCTAAAGCGTTACTAAAAATCAGAAGTACTGCAAAAAAAAAGAGAATTGTTGTTATATATCTAAAGTATTATCAGTATAAATCATTAAAGCATTGATAAAGATCAGTAGTGTTAGTGATGATAAATGGAAGGAGAATCAAGACAAATCAGAGCAACGAACACTGAGACAAAATCAGTTTTATTACAAAATTATTCACTCAGAAAACTATATTCATTTGAAGAGATTCAGTAAAGTGTGAAGAACATCGCAGCCAAACATTCAGTTTGTCCATGTGAAGAACGAAACAGCTGCACACTGCTTCGTTCCACCTTCCTTTAAAGACACAACGTGAGGATTTGGCAGCACGAGAAGCTTTAGAGAACCTGAAACAGGCACTGAGGGAAACATGGAAGAAAGTCTGCTTTCCATCAGACTGTCACAGTGCTGCTGTTACTCAGCTGGAGAGAAGTCAAAGTGCAGAGTGAGTTTGTGTAGCTGAAAATCTACGACAGGTTAAATGTGTGATCCCAAACCATCATTACACAACAAAAATAAATGCTCACGACAAAAATCAAACCTATTGATCTCACAAGAATAAAAACTCTAAGAAAAATCAAAGGACAAAACATCTCATCACCGTCTTCTTCTTGGACCAAAACAGAGCAAATGTTTAGTGCAATCAGAACAATGAGGCGGCGTTCCTCAGGGCGGCGTCCTGGAACCGCTGCTGGTTCTGTTAAACTGACAGAGTTAAAGGCTGCAGGTCCAAAACAAACTCTTCACAACACAATCAGAAAGTGTCTCTTGTTCTGTCGACTCAGCACCACACTGACGTTTGAGGTTTTCTGTTCAAGAAGATTCGCTGTTTGGAAGATTGTCCAACACAAATCATTTCATTCCGTTTGTTTTTGTTGTCATCACGAATTCAGACGTGAAGACAGAAACAGAAGTGATCCGAGCGGAAGCTGCAGGTTCATGTTCGCTGGCCTCCGATCCTGAACCAGAACATCTGGTTGTGTTGGTTTAAAGGAGTCTGTGTCTAACGTCTATAAAACTAACATCTATCAGCGCTGTTCATGTAAAAGTAAATCAGGTAATAAATCACTTATTTGCTCCTTTTTGTGCATCAGACTCCCTGATGTGTGAAACACTCTGTAGTTAGAAAACGTGTCGGTAAATATTCAGCTTTAATTAAACAACGAGTCAGACGCTCAGCTTTGGTCCCAGCTGTGATGCTGATGTTCCCTCTGCAATAAGAAGCTGCATGTTTGGGTGTCTGTCAGTTACTGAGTAAGAACGTAAACCAGGACATGAAGCGTCCTCTGAACTCTCTGAAAGGCATCTCATCCCTGCAGCAGAGCAGAATGACTCCATTTGTCAGATAGTCCATTACTTTTTAAATTTAAGTAAAATGAATAATGACGGGACTGCGGCGGCTCGGTGGTTCTCCCTGGTTCCCTGTTCTAACGCTGAGACTCTGACAGAACAACGAGACAGAACTGAGTTCAGAGGGTTAAATCTGGATCTTCTGCTGCTGGTTTTAGTGGTCACAGTTCTGAAGGCAGCTCTGGAAGGTTCTGTCAGTTTGTGATGTTTCTTTAATGAAGTGAAGCTGCTGGATTGATCACATCAGGAGCTGTGATCACGCTGATGACTGATCAGCTGATCAATCATCAGCGCGATCAGTGTGATTAAAGCTCCTCAACACTCTGCTGCTGATTCTTTGATTTGTGAGTGTTGCATTGTGGGAACTGGAGTTCTTTAGTCTCTCTGCAGCGCCACCTGGCTGCAGGTTGTAAACAGCTGAGAGGCTCCTCACCTGTCCAGGTGTCTGTCTTTGGTAGATGTGGAGCTGCTGAAGGCACCGTTGGCTGTGGGTGAGAGTGGGTCAGAGGTTCTGGTTCTGGTTCTGGGAGGTGAGAAGCTGCTGTAGAGTTTCTACATTCACAGTGAACAGCAGCTCAAACTACAGAAGCAGACTTCAGGAGGTTTATTGCTGTGGAGGCAGTCGGACCTGCAGAGGAGCAGAACATGACTCAGCATCAACACCATGACGTGACACAAACCTTCAGGCTTCAGCTGGTTCTGCTGCTTTCAACGAAAATAAACGCTGCTGGCTCTCAAGTTACTGCTCGACAAACAGGCATAAAATAAACTCAGAAAGTCTACAGAACCTCCAAAAAATATTTTTAAAATGTCCAAAAAAATTCCACATGACAGAAAAATATCAGCGTAACCACTAATAATAATAAAAAATACCTACAAAGAACCTCCCGTATAATCTAAGGACACGTCAGAGATGTGGCAAAACCGAGAGGATTAACAGACAAACATAGGTAAGATTAAAAAACAATCAATAAAAATGGTAAAATCTAAATATAAGTCAGAAGGTGAGCAAACTAAGACATCAATAAAATGTGTATCAATCATCTGACTTCTTGTGTTCAGTGGTGACAGTTCAAAATGTTTCTTCTTTTAGCCTCAAATTATTTTTCACCAACGTTTCTAAATAAATGAAATCACTAAAAAAATACTTTACATTAATGTAAAAACATGAATATTCAGGATAAATGTGAAGTTCTGACCCAGTTAACCCACAAACACATTGTTCAGGTCATGTGATCCCAGTCCCACATTCTGGTCCATGTCTATCTCCACCAGAGACCTGTGTCTGAAGACGACTCAGGTCAAACTGGTTAAACTGGTTTAACGTCACCTTTCCAACTGGTCTGGTTCTGGTTTACCTGCGTTCAGGACCGGAACACGTGCACGGCCCGGATCACGTACTGGCGGCAGATGGGACACTCGTTCATCCTCTTGCCACACTTGGTGCAGGTGATCATGTGACCGCACTCCAGCAGGACGCAGTCGATGGGCGAGTCCATGCAGATCTTACAGAGGTTCTCCTCCGGACCGCCGCTGCCGACACCGCCGCCGACACCGGACTCTGAGAAGGAGGACGACATCTTCTCTCAGTAACACCAACACGAAGAGAAACCGTGTTGTTTAGAGTCCGCTTTAATCCGACCGAACCACGGACAGGCCAGAAGGTAAAGAACTGGGTTTTCTGTCTTTATTCAGAGCAGCAGCGACAGACAGGAAAGGAGGAGACAACAGGAGAGACCTGCAGCGAAGGGTCGTGAGCAGAGTCCAACCCACGACCGCTGCGTCGGGGAGCCTGTTTACGGGTCACCTGCTCAGCCAGGTGAGCTGCAGGGACGCCCCAAAGTACAGAAGTACAGATGTGAAGAGCAGCTGCTGGACGTCACAAAGTGCAGTGTTTGATTAAACCGTCGTGTTACTGATGGAAACAGAACTCACCTGCAGCGTTCACCGTGTTGGCAGCTGAAACACAGAAAACAGGTTTTATTGATCAGAACAGAACCCTGTGTTCAGGGAGAAAAACACTCATCTGTTCAGTCATCAATACGATCAATACGACAGCTAAAGGACGGAGACATTTAATAACACATGAATCCTAATGCAGGGGAGCAGCGGCCCAGCGGGGGGCGCTGTTCTGCTCAGCTGCAGCTTCCCCTCATCTGCTGCTACACTGGAACCATCAGGAACCAAACGGGTCAGCCTGCAGACGGACTCACAGCGGCTGTCTGATGGACTTTAGAAACCGTCTGTTGTTCACGTCGACGTTTCGGTTTGAGACACTTCCTGAAGAAAAACTTCAAACTGGATCAATTCCTTCAGGCGTCTGACCGACACGACCCAGGCAGCTGGTTCTGGTTTCAAGTTCTTTACTCCTCTGAACTCCAACAGTTTCTGGAAGGTTTTGTCTTCTGGCTCCTTCACTGAGGTTCTTGTTTCACTAAAGTCCTGCAGCTCTGTGGAACCAGAACCACATGACGGAGGAGACAGAACTCAGAGATGTGGAGAATCAGAACGAGGAAGGACGTTCTGGTTCTACAGGGTCAGAACCAGGAGGAGAAAGGTTCTGGTTCTACAGGGTCAGAACCAGGAGGAGAAAGGTTCTGGTTGTACAGGATCTAATTAGTAAAACCGGTGTGTGTTGGGAGAATCTCTACGTGTAGAATAAAGTGGTTCTGATGAAACATCTGGGTTCTAAGCTCTGATGCTGAATGCTTCCAGACTGAACATCATGTCACCTACTCAGCTGCAGCTGAACGTGTGAAGATTCTTTCTGTCTGGACGGTTTCTGGCTGATAACTGGGTTCATTAACGGGTCTTAAACCCGCGGGTCAGAGGATTAAAGAAACATGAAGCTCAGGAACTAAATTCTGTTTCAGGTTTCTGTCAGAGTGATCACAGACTTGCTGTCTTTACTGGACTCAGATGGACCCCTGCAGAGCTCCGTTCTGATCCAGGTAAACCCTGGAACCGGACTCACCCAGCAGGTTCTGCTGGTCCTGGTACAGCCGGGTCACTCGCTCCATCAGCTCCCACTTCTCACAGCAGCCCTTGTAGTTCACAAAGTTCCTGGCCAGAATTTCCTTCAGCTGCCGCACACTGAGCAGCTCGATGTCATCCACACAGGTCAGGTCCGACAGCGAGGCCCGGCGACCCAACACCGGAGGCTCCTCAGGGTCCGAGGTCTAGACCAGGTGGAACAAGAGGAACCGGGTCAGTTACAGGGTCCACATTCAAATGAAAACATAGGATTTAATCACAGAATCCAGATCCAAACCAGAATCTAGACTCAACCAGACTCCAGTCTGGATCAAATGGTCCCCACATCAAATCCAAGATCCAGAATGTGTGCCTGAACACGGGTTCTGATCGTGTGACCCATCTGAACCTCCAGCTAGCGCTGAGGTTTTGATGGTGAAACCGTCCTTCAGCTGATTTTAGGATGAAGGTACATTTCCAGGTTTTCCAGGTCTGAAGGAGACCAATGGACCTGGACTCCAGAACCAGAGCCAGAACCTGCTTCCTCTGAGAGAGCTGATCCCTGCTATGGATGAAAGCCATCAATACCTTTGATTAGCACCCGATCACCTCCTGCTCTGGGTTACCTGGTCCTCGTCCTGGACGTCGGACTCGGCGGCGGCGGTCTCTGTGGGCGGGTCTTCGGGCTGTGCAGCAGGGGGGTCGGGGGTCGGTGTGGGGGGGTCAGGGATCAGGTCAGGTGTGTCTGAGGTCACGGAGGAGGGGTCGATGGTCGGGGTCTCGGGGGCGGAGCCACTGGATGGCGAGGACTGCTGCCCGAGGACCAGCTCCACCAGCTCCTCCTGCAGCACAGAACGCCGTTACACTCACCTGGACAGGTGCGACACGTGACACGCTCTCGCCTCATATGCTCACCTTCTCTCTGCACAGGTGGGTGGACACCTCATGCAGGTGCAGGTAGTCCCGCAGCTCCTTCACTTTCAGCTTCATAAGCTCCGCCCGCTCCAGCAGGTTTCCGTAGAAACGCTGACAGGTGTGGCAAAGGCGAGGGCGGGGCTCCAGCTGGGCGGAGCAACGGCTGCAGTAGTTCTTCTTACAGTCAACACACATGTGCTGACAGACAGGTGAGAGAGAGACAGGTGACTGACTGACCAGCATCTTATCTAACCTGTAAATACCTTTCTGCACCTGCTCAGCGTGTCCAGCAGCGCCCTCTGCTGGACACGCTGAGCAGGTGCGTCCAGGTTCAAACTGTCAGAACTCCATCACATGTGAACACAAACATGGTTCTGATACCGTCGGGCTCAGGGTGACGCCCACCTCATGATGGCACAAACATCTCTTGTACCTGCAGAAATCAGACCGCAGCAGGTGGGCGGAGTTACCTTCTTGGCAGGTGTATCAAAGGGCCCTCCGCAGGCCTTACAGGTGTGTTCAGGTGGAGGAGGAGACGGCTGGCTGCTGAAGGCCGAGTTGGTGTAGGCCTGGTGGCGTCCGTCGGCTCCATCAGGCTGCTCAGCCTCCACCGGGTCCATACACAGCCAGTTACAGCAGGACGCAAACATACCTGGAAACACACACCAGAACAGGCTGAGCACTACGACGTCCCACACACACAGTCCGCTGCCACACCTGAAGACTGAAGGTCTGGATGTTGGTCTTTAGTTCATCATGGCTTAAATGCAGACCTGCACAGGGCTGACCTGCAGTCTGTCCCGTAAGGCGGCCAACTGCAGACCAAAGCCTGCCTGAAAAACCTCCGGTTCCTGAACCCATCAGCTCATTATAGTCACGGTCAATGCAAAACGCATTTCTACACATTAATAAAGTGTTTTGCAGAACTCGGCCTTATTGTTCATAAAGCAGAACACGGATTTAGGAAATAATGAGCTATTAAATTGCAAAAAAGCATAATTTAATACATCTTGGTGAAACTCAACTTCACATATTTTGTAAGTTAAATTTCAGCCGAACGGACACGTGTGTCTTTATAAAGAGTTAAAAATCTAAAGCAAGTCTTGGGGAGCAGCAGCTGTTCACTAGTCAGACAAGTTTCTTTAAATCCACACATTTGTTAACGGAGTTTGGTTCTGCCGGCAGGTTGCAGCACAGGATCTGTAATTTGAACATATTTTACAGGTTACAGGCAAAACGTTTTTTCTGTGCCTTCAGAAAGTTTAATTTATGAACGTACTGTCGCACTAGTGCGTAGTTCCTCTCATTAAACCATCTTAAGTACTTTCGTTTTGCACATTGATGACTGTAGACCAAACTACATAGTAAAAATTGAGACTTTTAAGTTTTCGCTTCGTTATTGCGCAGTAATAATGTCAATTAGCTGCTCAAACACACTTAAATGTTTTATTGAGATGGTCTCATGAATTCGGTGTCAATAATCACAAAGCAAGACTCTGATGTACCGAATAATCAGCTGCAAAACATGAATCATCAAAGCTCGGACGAACTTAGCTGTGATGTTAGTGAAGTTTTTATGGACTGAAAATTAAAACAGTTTTGTTGTTACTATGAGCCAAATGACAGCCAGTCTCTGCTTAAAACCTAATAAACCACATTTTGTGCTTTAGCCGCACAGTTTAGCCAACGGTAGCCAGGAAACTGTTAAAGCCAACAGAATGTTAACGGAGTTCGGCGCAGGGAGTCCGGAACGGACCTGTGCTGCTAGCAGGCTAGAAGCTAAGCTAACATTCGGCTAGTTAGTAAAGTTTAAAGAAGAAACCAAACAGAAACCATCAGAGAAGACAGCAACAGGAACACTTAGACCAGGTTAAACTAACCGAGTTAACAGGTTAACCGACACCTGACCGGCACCATTATCCACAGAACGAGTCGTCTTACCTGTGACTGACAGCGCTGCTACAGCTAGCTCTCTGCTAACTCTCCGGCCGCCGCTGCTAGTTAACGAACACTCAGCGGCAGGTCAACCCACGGCTGCTAGTTAACCAGCATGACGAGTTAACAGGTTTAAAGTGACGAAAGGAAAGGAGAAGAAGAGACCAGACACACAAACACACACACACACAC